TAGCCCGTTTGCTGTCATTCACAAGCTTTAAGGTGTAGTGGTATTGCTCAAGCGGGTTGTTAGTAGCCGCGTAGCCTGTGGGGGTATGAAAAGCTTGCCAGTGCGAAAAGCGGGCATTAATTATCCACTGCGAAATAATGTGATTTGCCACACGTCGAAACCGAGGAGATAGCATACCCGCTCCACGCCATGACCTCACAACAAAATTTCGTTTACAAAGATAGTGATCTTCATCGATAGCATGGTGCAAATCATACAGATTCCGGAAAAGTGGGCCACCTTCGTTCTTGTCTGTATCTACGTCGCCATTCGCAATCCGCCGAGCTGCAGTGCGCAATTGGCGTGCCTGCCGCACAAATCTTTGCGAAGGAGCTGGCATGCCAGGACATGCAACCCCAGCAAATCCGGTTGCCTTAACAACGTGTAGGCATATCCCAACTTTCTTATAGCACAGACATAAACACGTGCGTGCAGTAGCATCAACAATCTATCCACCGACGGGCATGTTGACCAAGCTTATTCTAGCGTAGTTTATGGCCTCGTCTTTTTTACTTTTGCAGCAGTAGGGTGGACAAATTCTCCTGGTTCTTGTGATGAACTCGTGGGAAAGCGGAGATGGTGCGACACGAACCAAAAATTAAATGGTTGTATCGGTGAATCAATTCTGCAGTCATGACCTTTTAATTAATCCTTTCTGTGAGCAGCCAGTAAACGTCTGGATACAGTAGGCTAATCGCAAAAGGGTTGCATCGAGGAGATAAACGAAATTCGTGACAAATCCAGGCGGACTACAAGCTCTTGCGGGGCTAGCCCGTTTGCTGTCATTCACAAGCTTTAAAAGGTAGTGGTACTGCTCAATCAAGTTGTTGAGTTAGCCGGCTCGCCGTGCGGGGAGATAGGGAAAGCATGTCCCGTTGCGAAAAAAGCGGGGCTTTATTTTTTTCCAGTGCGAAATTAATGCGACTTGCCACACAACTAAATTGTTGTATCGGTGAATCAATTCTGCAGTCATGACCTTTTAATTAATCCTTCTGTGAGCAGCCAGTAAACGTTTGGATACAGTAGGCTGATCGCAAAAGGGTTGCATCGAGGAGATAAACGAAACTCGTGACAAATCCAGGCGGACTACAAGCTCTGCCGGGCTAGCCCGTTTGCTGTCATTCACAAGCTTTAAGGTGTAGTGGTACTGCTCAAGCGGGTTGTTAGTAGCCGCGTAGCCTGTGGGGGTATGAAAAGCTTGCCAGTGCGAAAAGCGGGCTTTAATTATCCACTGCGAAATAATGTGATTGCCACACGTCGAAACCCGAGGAGATATCATACCCTAGTAGCACAAAAACGACTGCGAACCAGCTAATTCTGACCACATTTTTGAAATCTACGCCCGATTTCACCCCTTATACCTAACTGTTGCTATAGGATTTGGGCTGTTGAATCCTCATAACAGATGGCTACATTCTGGTCCAAGGACTTGTGAAGAGTACAATAATGTTATTACTTCAGGGTGCTTCGTAGCATTATACACTAGGCAATTGAGGTTTTTATTCGAAATGTGCTTAGCTATAATATTTCGCGTAACATCGTCAAGGAGTATAATGACGTCTCCGTTACCGAGGCCCGCGCCGCCAACGCCAGCTCCGACCCCAGCACCAGCGCCTCCGTAGCCGGCTTCCCGACCAAACAGCCCAGCACCAGCACCACCATATCCGGCGCCTCGACCGTACAGCCCAGCACCAACGCCACCAGCACCTCGACCGTACAGACCAGCACCAGCGCCACCATATCCGGCGTACAGCCCAGCACCAGCGCCACCATAGCCGGCACCTCGACCGTACAGCCCAGCACCAGCACCACCATAGCCGGCACCTCGACCGTACAGCCCAGCACCAGCGCCACCAGCACCTCGACCGTACAGCCCAGCACCAGCACCACCATAGCCGGCACCTCGACCGTACAGACCAGCACCAACGCCGGCTCCACCATGAAGACCGGCAGCGCCAGCTCCATAGAGTCCCGCACCACCGTGCAGACCAGCGCCAAGCAGTCCGAACGTCTGGGCGGCCTCCTTCTCAGCATACGCGCTGTTGGTTAGTGCCACGACGGCGAGGCACACGGCGGTGATCTTGCTACTGCTGAACATGTTGCGCTTGCGTGTTCTTGGACAGCCTTCGAATGCACGAGAGCTGTTTGATGTGAGCTCGAGTGAGGAGAATGGGAAATGAGCTCTGGACGGCGCCACTCGGCAACCTTTTCCGTCGGTCCCGCATTGACGGTCGTCTAGATCATGTGTACAAGGCAGGTAGGTATAAGAGAGCACACTGCGTGCGAGGAGTCTACTTGGTATAGACACACAATCGACAGGGACAAGGGTCTTTTAGGACGCCATGATGACCAGCATTTTTGCTAGTATGCGGGAGCCCCATAGATACGCGTACGCTGACATTGCTGGGCACCTGGCCAAGGTCAAACTCACATGTAACATGTGCCTCCCAATGACCGGGACGCAACCTGACACGACTGTGACTTGCTCTGTAAATGGATACGGGGCCCGGCGCACACGAGCTGGGAGCATGATAAATACTGGCACCCAACAAGCAAGAATACACTAAAATCCTGGAGCTAAGCTAACCTCCATGTTTTACTGTTTGGTCTCATGTTACATCTCAAAAAGAAGGCAAGGTTGCCTTTTCTTCGGAAGTGGCAGGCTTGCAAAGTTCAAACAGTTTACTAAAAAAAAAA